AGTACAAACACCAGATGCTCCACCACCAACGAGACGGGCCTCCTGGTTTGGTTCCGATGGAGCTGGACTCTCCCCCTGAGTCTCCCCCTGTACCGCCCGGGTCCTATATGCCCCCCTCTCAATCCTACATGCCCCCGCCTCAGCCGCCACCCTCGTACTATCCCCCGTCCTCGTCTCAGCCCTACCTGCCTCCCGCTCAGCCGTCCCCCGTCGCAGTCCCCACCTTCCCAGCCCTACCTGGCGCCCACCCCTTCTTACTCCTCCTCCTCCTCTTCCTCGCAATCCTATTTGAGCCATTCCCAGTCCTACTTGCCCTCTTCTCAGGCGTCTCCCTCCCGCCCCTCCCAGGGCCATTCTAAAGGCCTGCTCCCCCCGCCGCCACCGGCCACCCCTGCTGGCCCTAAGACAACTGTCCGGCAAGAGCCTCTGGACAGCGGGGCCAAGAACAAGAGTGCTGAGCAGCAGCAAGCCGCCCCTGAGCCAGATCCCTCCACGATGACTCCACAGGTAAGAGGGCTTGGTCCCTACAAGGCTCTAGGCGAACAGGCCCGGGGGGCTTTAACCGGTGCTTAGCCTGATTCCAGCACACAACGACCAGCTAATTTGCACTCCAAGAGTGGCCTGACTGGACGGTGTGTTACTAAAGGAACAGTGTTGGAAGATGTGTCTGCACACCGCAGAGTAGTGGGCTGGCTCCAGAGTTGCTTTTCAGGTTTATTGCTTGATTTTCTTTGCCCAGCCAACTACACGTCCTGTTGCCGCTGCAGAGGGCCTTGCTTTGGAGTTGGGCTTTCACTACACTTTCCATTTTCGAGGAAGCATCACAAGGAAGCTCCTCACAGGGCTGACCCTTAAATGCATGGAAATCCATGGCCAGTCTGCTTTTAAAACAGCAACGACGGCATTCTTTAGGGGCCCAGGATAGCTGTCAGCTTCCTGAATCAAGAGGTCTCAGCAAGCCAAGGCTGGAGATCTTGTCAGGAGCATCCTGATAGGCTTAGAGCTACACGTGCAGTACATAGGTGAGGCTGTCTGCCAGGGCTGTGTTGGTCCATTGTGGGAATTCACCTGTACATCCTTTTCTCCCATTACTTGCGAGATAGTTTTATGACCTGACCAGTTTATTTCATTTAATTGTTGCTGCCACTCACTTCAAAGTAATAGCTGTGGAATTTGGCCAAGGTAGAGGAAAGTTTAGTGAGAGAGCCCTTCCTGCGAACTTCTGCCCGCAGAGCAGCGGCTGACAGGGTCATGGAAATAAGTAAATTTCTCTGTAAAGGAAGGTAGGGCTAAAGTGGAATAACTCATTTATTATGATTTCTTAACATAACGCTTCTAGCTGTTACCTATGTTACAATTGCTAAGGCAAAAAAGAAAATCTTAGAAATACAAGCTCAGCTTTGCGTAGGAAAGCTTTCCACAAGATGGGGATGCAGGGTTTGAATTTCACGTGTTTGGCATTAGAAAACGAGGACAGGAGCAGTGGCTTTGTGAATGATGCTTGGCACAGCATCAGGAGAAGACGCTTGCGATTCTGTTCTACGAACAGTAGAGTAAGTGGTTCTGTCGGCCCACACCAAATCTCTACCATCCCACTGGGTTGGTTCCCCCAGGTTGCTCTGTTATCCAGTGCCTTTGTTGTCAAACTGTCAGAGTTCGTTCAAGCCAAAATGTGACATTTATAGCCTTGTCTCTACTCCTAGACTGCTTTTCTGGCCTTATAGAGAAACACATGAATTATATTTTGGGAGTTTTAAAAACTCCGTTTGAAAAGAAGAGAGAATATAAGAATTGCACATCCGCTAGTTCACTCCCCAAATGCCTACAACAGCCAAAGCTAGGAGTGTTTCTGACAGTTTTTGGAGAGGAGAGTATGTGTCAAACTGGGTCCCGATATAAACACCCACCATAAACACTGCTTTTGGTTTTCTGCCCTTGTACCCTTGTGTGTGATGATCTTTATTAAGTGCCTTAAATATGCATATTCTATGCCTTCATTCTGGTTTTAAAGACTTACTTATTTGAAAGGCAGAGTTACAGAGAGGGAGATCTTGCTTCCACTGATTCACTCCCCAAATGGCCTCAACGGCTGGGGCTGGGCCAGGCCAAAACCAGGAACCTGAACTCCATGCAGGTCTCCCACGGGGGTGGCAGGGGCCCAAGCACTTGGGGCATCCTCTGCAGCTTTCCCAGGCACTTTCACTGGGAGCTGGATTGGAAGTGTAGCTGCCGGGACTGGAACCAAAGCTCATATGGGATGCTAGCGTCTCAGGCAATGTCTTAACTTGCTGTGTCACAACACTGACCCCCGTACCTCCATTCTGAAAGGCAGAATGAAAGTGGTAGAAGATGAGGATTAAGGGTGAGTGTATATGGACCAGGTCAAGAAAGACCTTGTAAACTTGTGGCTCTTTTAGCTTTGTGTAGAATTCGTCCCAACTCTTTGACAGTAGAGTTGGATCTGTTTCAAGGCCATCTCCAGTAGCAAGGTCTCCATGAAGCCTTACCTGACCTTACCCATCTGGTTTGGTTCTTCTCTTCAGATTGGAAGTCCCTTGCAGACAGGGACTGTTTTGCTTATTTTATTAATTTCCTTTAGCACCTAGGATAGTGCTTTGCAAATTGTAGACTCTGCACAAGATTTGTTGGAGACACAGAATTTGTCATGCTCTAAGCTTAAAATACTTTGGTTTATTATATGAAAATCTTTTTTTTTATAAGTTTTATTTGTTTATTTGAAAGGCAGAGTGACAGAGGAAGAGACAGACGCAGAGTTCTTCCATCCACTGGTTCAATACCCAAATGGCCACAACAGCTGGGGCTGTCCCACTCTTTTTTTTTTTTTTTTAATGTATTTTAAGTTATACAAGTTTCATATATTTCATATATACAGATTTAGGAACATAGTGGCACTTCCCTGATACCCTCTCTCCCACCCACATTCCAATCCTTCTTCCCTCCCCCTCTCATTCCCTCTCTGAATTTTTACAAAGATTTATTTTCAGTTTACTTAATGATTGTATAGTTAACCCTACTCTTAAGAGTTCAACAAATAGTATGAAGAGGAAAAAAAGAACACTGTCCCTCAACAAGAGAGACAAGGGCTATGAACATCATTGAATCTCTAAATGTCTATTTCACTCCAAAATATTACACTTTAGGTACTCTGAGTTACCTTGGATCAGGAAAACATGATATATGTCTTTTGGGGACTGGCTTGTTTCACTAAGTGTAATGGTTTCCAGTCGCATCTATTTTGTTGCAAAAAACAGAATTTTTTTTTTTTTTTTTTTACAGCTGAGTAGTACTCCATAGTAGTACTCCATAGTACTATATATCCATATACCATAATTTCTTTATCCAGTAAATAGTTGATGGACATCTGGGTTGATTCCATATCTTAACTATTGTGAATTGTGCTGCAATGAATATGGCAATACAGGTAATTCTTTCATAATGATTTCTTTTGCTTTGAGTAAATTCCCAAGAGTGGGATGGCTGGATCATATCGTAGGTCTATGTTCAGATTTCTGAGGTCTCCATACTGTCTTCCACAGTGGTTGCACTGGCTTACATTCCCACCAACAGTGGATTAGGGTACCTTTTTCTCCACATCCTTGCCAGCATTTGTTGTTTGTTCATTTCTGTATGAGAACCATTCCAACTACAGTGAGATGAAACCTCATTGTGGTTTTGATTTGCATTTCTCTGGTGGCTAGTGATCCTGAGCATTTTCTCAAGTGTCTGTTGGCCATTTGGATTTCCTCTCTTGAAAAATGCTCAAGTTCTTTGCCCATTTCTTACCTGGATTGTTTTGTTGTTGAACTTTTTGAGCTCTTTATAGATTCTGGATAGTAACCCTATATCAGTTGCAAAGTTTGCAAATATTTTCTCCCATTCTGTTGGTTGCCCCTTCACTTTGTTGTTGTTTTTTGCAGTACAGAAGCTTCTCAGCTTGATGTAATCTCATTTGTCAGTTTTGGCTTTGATTGCCTGTGCTTCTGGTATCTTTTCCAAGAAGTCTTTGCCTATGTCAGTTTCTTGCCATTTCTGCAGTGTTCTCTAATGACTTGATGGTACCGGGTGGTAGATTTAGTTCTTTGATCCGTTTTGAGTGGATTTTTGGGTGCGGTAGTTGCTAGATTCATACCTGTGCATGTGGAGATCCAGTTTCCACGGAGACTGGGCTGTTCCGAAGCAAGGATCCTGACACTCTGTGGGTCTCCCTCATGGGTGGCAGGGGCGTGAGTACTCGGGGCGTCTTCCACTGCCTTCCCAAGCAGATGGGCAAGGAGCTGGATTGGAAGTGGAGCAGCTGGGACTCAAACTAGGGCTCCCATATGTGATACAGGCAATATAGGCAACAGCTTAACCCGTTTCACCACAATGCCAGCCCCAGACGATAAACATTTCTTCATGCCAGTACTAATCTCTGACAACTAACCCTTCTGCATACCTATTTTATTCATATTTTATGTTTGGAATATGTCATTACAATTTCTTTGTGGTAAAAGTTTAAAAATACACAAAATAGAGAAAGTATCATGATCTGCCATATATATCCCAACTATCAAAATTTTGTCACATTTACTAGTTTTAATTGGTCATGTTTACTAGCTTTAATTGTTGCTTCTGAAATATTTTAAAGCAAATCTTAGATTTTGTGTCATTTCATTCCTCCTTTTCTTAGATTAACATGTAGCACCTAACAAAGTTAACAGTTTATTGGTATCCTCTAACACCAGATTCATTCAGATTTCCCCTATTGTCTTATACTATTGGAATTAAAAAATAATTCCTTGGTATCATCCATGTTAAAATTTTCCAAATTAACTCAGTAATGTTTTCTTGGTTTGTTCAAATCAGGATACATACAGGGTATAAAAAAAGGCCCTTTGAGGACTGGCATTGTGGTGCAGTAGGTTAAGCTGCTGCTTGTGACATTGACATCCCATATTGGAGTGCAATACTGGTGGCTGATCTAGTTCCCATCCAGCTTCCTGCTAATGTGTCTGGGAAGGCAACAGAAGGTGGCCCAAGTACTTGGGTCCCTGCCACCCACATGGGAGACCAATATGGAGTTTCTGGCTCCTGGCTTTGGCCTGGTCCAGCCCTGACTGTTGCAGCCATCTAGAAAATGAGCCAGCAGATGGAAAATTTCTCTATGTCTCTCCCTTTCAAATAAATAAATAAATAGGGGCCTGGTGTTGTGGCATAGCAGGTAAAGCCGCCACCTGCAATATGGGTATTCCGGCCGGTTTGTGTCCCTGCTGCTCCACTTCTAATACAGCTCTCTGCTAATGGCCTGGGGAAAGCAGCATAAGATGGCTCAAGTACTTGGGTCCTTGCCATCAATGTGGGAGACCTAGATGAAGCTCCTGGTCCTGACTTCAGCTTTGCCCATTGCAGCCATCTGAGGAGTCTAGCAGTGGGTGAAGATCTTGCTTTCTGTCTCTCCCTCTCTATGCAACTCTGACTTTCAAATAAATAAATAAATCTTTAAAATG